TACAAAGTGACTTAGGACTGTTATTCTCCCTGTCAGGCACTGAACTTCACTGGTATTAGATGGGGATTTCATATCCATCACTGCTTTGACTTTCTTTGGATTAGCTTCAATCTCCTTGCTGTTGACTATGAAACCCAAGAACTTTCCCGCAGATACTCCAAAGGCACTTTTGGCAAAGTTGAGCTTCATTTTATACTCTCAAAGAACCCGAAATGACTTTACTAGGTGCTCAACATGGAGCTCTGCCTTTAATAATTTTACCAACATATCATTAATGTAGACCTCCATTGTTGCCCCAATCTACTTTTGGAACATCCGATTCACTAGATGCTGATAAGTGGCTCCTGCATTCTTCAGTCCGAAAGGCATAACCTGAAAATAGTATGTCCCTTTTCTGTCACAAAAAAAGGTCTTTTCCTGGTCACTGAGATCCATTCTAATCTGATTGTATCTAGAGAAAGCATCCATGAAGCTGAGGAACTCATGTCCAGCGGTGGCGTCCACAATTAAGTCTATTCGAGGTAGAGGGAAGCTGTCTTTGTGACAAGCACAATTGAGGTTAGTAAAATCGATACAGAGGCGCCATTTGTCATTGGTTTTTTTGACAAGTACCACGTTGGCTAACCAGACAGGGTACTCTAATTCTATTATGGCTTTAGCATGGAGAAGCTTGCTAACTTCCTCATTGATGGCCTTTTGGCATTCTGGGTCGAAACTTCTCCTCTTTTATTTGATTGGTTTACTGGCGGGGTTCACACTAAGCTTGTGTGTGATGACTAAGGGGTCAATTTCCTGTCATATCCTCTTACTTCCAAGCAAAAACTTCTACGGTTCTTTTTAGGAATTGAATCAAGTGGTCCTTGATTTCTCTGCCCAGTTTCGATCCTACGTAAACTAGGTGCTCTGGTTCTTCATCGAGCTAATCTGGCTCCAGCTCTTCTAAAGGCGTGGGTTAGGTATTTAGCTCGTATCTCATGTCGAGCTCATCCAACTGGATATTTTTGACTTCCCTTTTTTTCACCAATGCCATGTAACACTCTAGTGCCACATGCTGGTCTCCATGGACCACTCCGACTCCATTCTCCGTAGGAAACTTCATTACAAGGTGATAAGCAGAGGGGATAGCTTTCATGGAGTTAAGGGAAGGCCTTACAAACAACATGTTGTATGCTGATGGTGCATCAACCACTAGGAACCTCACAGTTGTAGTAGCCTGGCAAGGAGGGTCACCTAGGGTGACCATGAGTTGAATTGATCCGAGGGGCAACACCCTCTCCCCTGAGAATCCCAACAAGTGATACTTACTAGCTCAAGTTTTTCCCTTCCTATTTTTATTTTGTCAAATGCTGACACAAAAATGCTGTCAGTCGAGCTGCCGTTGTCAATCAGAACTCAATGAACAGTTCGGTTAGAGACAACGGCCCTTACCACTAAGGGATCATCGTGAGGATGCTGGCAACCTTCCAGATCACGTGGTGTCTTGGACACCGTATGTATTTCCAGAGTTTCCTCAGCTCTAATTTTATGTAAGTGAGCTTTCCTAGTTGAGTTGGATTCCCCTCCTCCTACAAATCCTCTTGATATTACTCTGATTTTTCCTAGGGGTTGCTAGTGCTGCACAGGGGCTTGCTGTTGAGGTACTGGGGGCGGTGGAGCTCTGTTCTGATTATCATGGGCAATAAAACGACGCAACTGCCTCCTTTGAATCAAGAACTCAATTTCCTTCTTCAACTAAATCCAGTCATCAGTATGGTGATCGTGGTCTCTGTGGTACTCACAGTACTTCATAGGATATCTCTTCACTGGATCTATCTTCATTCAAGGAGGCCATCTTAAGAANATTATGATGATCGTGGTCTCTGTGGTACTCACAGTACTTCGTAGGATATCTCTTCGCTGGATCTATTTCATTCAAGGAGGCCATCTTAAGAACTTTTCATTCTGCACCTCATACAGGATTTGGGACACTGTTGCAATGAGTGGTGTATACTGCTGAGGTACATACCTGGGCTGCAACTCAGGCTGTGGGGGACCTAGACAATCCCTGACATTTTTTTTCCTTTTTTGGGAACGTTCTCTATCTCTCCTGGGAGATCTGTCTCTTTTCAGAGACCTGTTTCTTTCTCTTTCTTTCCTGGGATTTCGGTCTCTTTTCTTTTCCTCCTCTTTTCCTTTTTGCGAAGACGAGCTCCCTACCTTTGAGAGGAGAGCTTCCTCGCCGTTTATATACTTCTCTGTTTTAGCCAAAACCTTGGCCATGCTTGCTTGAGGATTTTTGGATATGGTGTCCTGCTATGAAAAGCAATAATTATAAATTTTTCGTCTGGAACGTCCACCTTTAGGGATTCTGAGTTAAACCTTTGAACATAAGACCTTAGGTTTTCTTGAGGTCCCTACTTCACATTCAGCAAGTGGTAGCTCGACTTTCTGTATGTCTGAGCTCCAATGAAATGAGGCACAAAGGATATCGAGACCTCTTTAAAAGAGGAGATCGAGGCTGGGGGGAGCCTATTAAACCATGCTAAGGCTGATCCTTTCAGGGTTATGGTGAAGGCGAGACAACGAACAGGATCTTGATATCCATGCAACTCCATCTAGTTTTTGTAAGTATTCAGGTGGTCCATAGGGTCTCTAGTTCAATCAAAAGCTTCTACCTGTAGCATTCTGAATTTCAGCGGGAGGGAAAAATGCAACACCCCAGGAGTAAATGGGGACTCAATTTGCTACACCAAGGCGTCCATGGTTACAGGAGTTTTACTCCTCACGGCCTCCTTCATGTGGCTGAGCTCCTGTTGAATATCTTTGAAGTACTGCTCCTAGTATTGGTCTTTTCACTCCTGCTGGACTGGGTGAAGGTTATTCTTCTCATTCTCATTACTTCGGCTCTGCACCTCTTCACTGTCTTCGCTCCTCAGAGGAAGTTAGGGAGCCTACCTATTTTTTCCTCCTTCGTAGGATTCCCTGAATGGGTTGAGATGTCACTATTCCTTGTGAGGGGGATCATTCTGGCCTCCTTGGACTGGTAGTTTCTCTTGTGATCACTATAAAAGCTTCAGGAGTTCCTCATTCTGCTTTTGCAGGCATTGATTGACCAGGCGGAGGGCTTCCAACTTGTTATTCATAGGAGGATCCACCATAGGAGGATTAACATCGGTGGGGAAGAAAGCTAGTGGATCTTCGTGTTGTCTGCTAGTATTCTCTTGTTGGTTCTGCACTCACAGGGGATTTACTTGGCTTCTACTCATATTACGGGTTAAGACCCTCAATTACTGATGAATCAGTGTACTTGTAATGAGAACAATTGTTCCCACAGACGGCGCCAAACTGATGGTGTCTTTTCAAGCGAACGAGCAATTAAGGTGATTGTCTAAGCACATTCAGACCAGAGTTGCTGGGCCAAACAGGTGAGTCAAAGATGGATTGAGAATGAAATAATTGGTTTTCCTAGTGGAAGTATAGTGGTTCACTAGCCCAGAAGCTTGGCTAATCCATTCTTTAATGGAGTCTCTTGCCCCTCGTATCTTTATTAATCACGAATTCAATTTACAAAGAGTCTCTCAGTAATCCTCCCTTTCATTGGAGGCGTTGCACAGTATTTATAGACCTGTCCCTATTTCTTAGGGATCAACAACAAGATGTTTGCCCTTCATTCATGGGTTCTTCCTTGATTTTAAGGAGATCTTTGGTTAGTTAAGTGTTCTGTGCCTTGATTATAGCTCCCCATTGCTACGAGGATGCCTTTCATTAGCCAGCTGTCCTCTTCTCAGTTTCCTTGCTAATCCCTTTGTAAAAAACTCAAGTGTTTGATCGTTGAGCTCTGGTTATTGTTTGACCTCCTGGTCTGAGCTCATTACCTGAGCTCCTCGCCTGAGTTCATACTTAGANCTCCTGTTGAATATCTTTGAAGTACTGCTCCTAGTATTGGTCTTTTCACTCCTGCTAGACTGGGTGAAGGTTATTCTTCTCATTCTCATTACTTCGGCTCTGCACCTCTTCACTGTCTTCGTTCCTCAGAGGAAGTTAGGGAGCCTACCTATTTTTTCCTCCTTCGTAGGATTCCCTGAATGGGTTGAGATGTCACTGNCCTCTTCACTGTCTTCGTTCCTCAGAGGAAGTTAGGGAGCCTACCTATTTTTTCCTCCTTCGTAGGATTCCCTGAATGGGTTGAGATGTCACTGTTCCTTGTGAGGGGGATCATTCTGGCCTCCTTGGACTGGTAGTTTCTCTTGTGATCACTATAAAAGCTTCAGGAGTTCCTCATTCTGCTTTTGTAGGCATTGATTGACCAGGTGGAGGGCTTCCAACTTGTTATTCATAGGAGGATTAACATCGGTGGGGAAGAAAGCTAGTGGATCTTCGTGTTGTCTGCTAGTATTCTCCTGCTGGTTCTGCACTCACAGGGGATTTACTTGGCTTCTACTCATATTACGGGTTAAGACCCTCAATTACTGATGAATCAGTGTACTTGTAATGAGAACAATTGTTCCCACAGACGGCGCCAAACTGATGGTGTCTTTTCAAGCGAACGAGCAATTAAGGTGATTGTCTAAGCACATTCAGACCAGAGTTGCTGGGCCAAACAGGTGAGTCAAAGATGGATTGAGAATGAAATAATTGGTTTTCCTAGTGGAAGTATAGTGGTTCACTAGCCCAGAAGCTTGGCTAATCCATTCTTTAATGGAGTCTCTTGCCCCTCGTATCTTTATTAATCACGAATTCAATTTACAAAGAGTCTCTCAGTAATCCTCCCTTTCATTGGAGGCGTTGCACAGTATTTATAGACCTGTCCCTATTTCTCAGGGATCAAAAACAAGATGTTTGCCCTTCATTTATGGGTTCTTCCTTGATTTTAGGGAGATCTTTGGTTAGTTAAGTGTCCTGTGCCTTGATTATAGCTCCCCATTGCTACGAGGATGCCTTTCATTAGCCAGCTGTCCGCTTCTCAGTTTCCTTGCTAACCCCTTTGTAAGAAACTCAAGTGTTTGATCGTTGAGCTCTGGTTATTGTCTGACCTCCTGGTCTGAGCTCATTACCTGAGCTCCTCGCCTGAGTTCATACTTAGAGTTTTTCTTGGTATCATCACCCCTCAAAGAAATTAAAGATGAAGGAATGATCCCTTGAAAGAAGTTTCCTTCCATGTAAATTTTTTCTAATCTAACACAGCTACCAAGTGGGCTCGGAATCTCACCAGATAATATGTTCTTGGCAACAATCAATTCACCAAGATTTTTCAGATTTCCAATTTTCATAGGAAGGGAACCAATCAATTGGTTGTGAGACAAGTCTAAATACAATGCTAAGGATGAGATGCCAAAAACTTGTGGAGGTATTATGCCACTAAGGCTGTTTCGAGAGATATTCAAAGCGTTCAACATTTGGCATTTTCCCAAACTAGACGGGATACTACCATAATAATTGTTGTTGTCTAGGCGGAGTTCTGTTAATATACTTAAATTTCCGAGGAATGAAGGAATTTCACCTGAGAATCGTTTAAGGGATAAATCCAATCTTTGAAGTTTTGCAAGCTTGGCAATATCATGGGGAATGTTGCCTGTGAATTGATTGTTGCTCATGTCAATATATGAGAAGTTGGCAAAAATCGAAAGCCAATTTGGAAGAGTTGATTGTTTCCTACTGACAGTCCTACAAGCTTAGTTGAAAGGTTTCCATAAGAGTCAGGCAATACCCCTCCAAAATTGTTATTACTCAGACCCAGTTCTTGTAAACCACTTGCATTCCTCAAAGATGAGATGAAACTGAGGTCATTGGCATTTCCACTTCCCAAGCTATTACCAGAGATGTCTATATGACAAAGGTCATGTAAATTTTCAAACGTAGGCACTTTTCCAATGAGTTTGTTTCCATCAATGAAAAGAAATGCCAGATTTGACATATTGGACACTGAAAAAGGAATGGTACCAGTGAATCGATTTCCTGAAATGCCAAAGTAACTGAGATTAGGAAGAGTGAAGCCCATGTCCGATAGAAGAGTCCCCTGAATTTGGTTCAGTGGCACAAAAATAGTGGGGATAGAAGAGAGATTGAAAAGTGTGGGAGGGAAGGTACCAGACAAACTATTTTCAGAAAATCCAATGTATTCTAGTTTTGTCAATTTTCCTAGAAAATCAGGGATACTTCCAACTAGACTGTTAGAAGAAAAATCAAGAAACACAAGAGATGATAATTTCCCAAAAGAAAGAGGGATACCACCTATAGACTGTTTCTAGGAGCCTAAATCGACTGGAGTTTTGACAGTGAGCCGAACTCCATAGGAATCTTTCCTACTAGCATGTTCCAAGAAAGTCGAACCTCAACTAGGTTAGAACAACTAGATATATTGGCGAGAATTTCACCACCAAGTGAATTGTTCCTGAGTCACAACAATCTTAATCTTTTCAAATGTTCAAGTTCTTGTGGAATTTGTTGATGGAAGCTATTGTTATCAAGAAGTAACTCTCGCAAGAAACTCAAATTTTCGAGGTAGGGTGATATGGACCTTGTGAGCTTCTGATGTTGTAGGCCTAACACAACGACCCTCTGGTGTTGGTGACTGCATATCACACTGCGCCACTAGCAGAAGTGGATGGAATCATTCCATGAGCTTAGAGACCTCGTCGGATCATCAACTATTTTGGCCTTGAATTTAAGCAGTGCTAGCCGATCGATTTCATTCCCATTCAGGGCATTGGTGGTCACTAGAAAGAAGCCTAACGTTGAACATGAGAGAAAGAGGATGTTTAAGCAAGCAACTAGGGAGAACAATGCCATGAGTTTTCAAAAGCTCTAGTTTGTAGGAACCAGAAGCTATAATTTTTCAGACAATGCTCGGAGAAATTGAGGTAACTGTAGACATTAAAAATTTAATTAACAAATTAATGTCTATAATTGAGCTCAAATCAATTAGATAAATAAAATTTGATTGGACCTAAATTCCATAACCTAAATTATACAAGCCCAAATTTAATTAACAAGGCTGCTAAATTAAATTAAATTGGACCTAAATTTCATAGCCTAAATAATACAAGCCCAAATACAATTAATCAGGCTTGTTAAATTAAAAAAAGACTTAAATTCTATAGGCCCAAATTAAATAAATTTTCAAAAGGTAAAATTGGTTGGACTTAAATTCCATAAATTAATTAAAGCCTACAAATTTATGGGTAGCCCACTACCTAAAGCCCATATAAGAGTAATAAGGACTCTTATATGGATAACTATCACTTTTATATGAATGACTACTCTTAGCACTATAGGGGAGGGCCAAAAGGAGAAAAATGGAGAAGAAGCCAAGAAGAAAGGAAGATTGGCGAAGCTCTGCTCAAAGTTCATTAAAGCCTTAAAGCCTTGCAAGTTCATCTCCAAGATGAAGAACACACCGCCAAGGTCCTTCTTCAAGAAATTCAAATCATCTTCAAGCCATTCCAAATGAAGAACGGTGAGGAGATTTATCAAAAGCATCTTCAAATTGAAGAGTAGGAGATATATTGATCCAGCTCTCATTTTCATCAAAGCCACCAATTGAAGAGTGAGAAATACGCCAATCAGAACCTCATCTTCACCAAATTCATCAACTTCATCAAATTTATCGAGTATCAGTGGACAGTGAGGAGAGTCAACACTACTTTTTTTACTTAAAGTCAATCAAATTGCCTATTATAATTTGACCTTATTTTGTGTTAATTCATTTCACGAAAATTTGTCGTTACAAATTTTGGCACGCCTAGTGGGAACCTCTCTTCCTCTCATCTCTCAAATCAACAAGGCTTACAACAATGACAACTAAAGACATCGTGATTCCTCCTACTGACAAGTCAACAGACTTGGTCAAGAAGTCAATTCCAACAACCCGTGCTAGAATAAAAGTGGGTAAATCTCAAATTTTGCCACCGATGGAGCATCGATCTAGGCAAAGCAAAAGGAAAGTTTTTCCAAGCAGAAAAAGACAACCTGCTCATTCTTCTATCGATCTGGAGGAAGAGACGGACAATTCTTTGCCCGACACACACTCTAGCACAGGCTCGAAGACTGAATTTTACTTCGAGATTTCTCCTAAACAGAAGTGGGGTGATTATTCCTTGTCCTCTGATATGCCTATGCTTGTGATAGTGACGGAAGTCACTTCATCTGAAGAATATCTTCAACAATTCACTGCTACGGTCGAGAAGTTGACCAAAGCCCTTGAAGGTAAAGAAATACAAATCGTTGCACTCATGAACCGGCTTGAATTGCAAGAACCTTCAAAAGGAAGCAGTCAAGAAATTTCAAGTCCTTCAAGGACTAAAATGCCAGAAAATCCAAAGTTTTTAGAACAACAACAAAAACAAGAGCAATATAATCGCGTCGTGGCGCAAAATGCCATGCAAGATTCTTCTCAAATGTCGGTTGCCGCACTCTCTGTCCAACAACTTCAACATATGATTGTTGATACCATTCAAGCCCAGTATGGAGGAGCTCCCCAGTCTTCGTTAGTATGTGCGAAGCCATATACTAGATGAATTGACGAGATACAAATGCCAATAGGCTACCAACCCCCGAAGTTTCAATAGTTTGATGGGAAAGGCAACCCAAAATAGCATGTTGTTTATTTCATTGAAACATGCAATAATGTCGGTACCTACGGCGACCTGATGGTGAAAGAATTTATGCGTGCCCTCAGAGGGGCTGCATTTGACTGGTACACTGATCTAACAACTGGAACTGTTGACAGTTGGGACCAACTTGAACGAGAGTTTCTCACTCGTTTTTACAACACTCAACGTGTGGTAAGTCTTCCTGAACTTGCAGGAACAAAGCAAAGAAAAGACGAAGCTATCATTGATTACATTGAACGCTAGAAGAGTCTTGTTCTCAATTGCAAGGAATGCATTAGTGAAGCCTCTTCAATTGATATGTGTGTCCAGGGAATGCATTGGGGACTACTCTACAGTCTCCAAGGAAACATGTCCCATACGTTTAAAGAACTTGCAACACGAGCCCATGACTTGGAAATTCAAATTTTCAAGCACGGAAGTTACTTTCTTAGCAACCCTCGTGAAAAGAGAGACGTAAATAAAGACATGAAGAAAGATGTGAAAGTCTCCAAATCAAAAGAATCTTTGGCAATCTCCACTACACTGGTGAAGATTTTTGATAAAAAGCCAAAGACAGACTTCCAAGTCAAATTTAATCAAGATCAGACTCAAAAGAAGACAAGACCAAGTTTGAAAGAATTTTAAGAGAAGAAATATCCCTTCACTGATGATGAAGTGTCAGATATTTTTGATCAGCTACTCGAGTTAAAACTTATCAAGCTTCCAACACCCAAGCGGCCAGAAGAATCGGAAAGGGTTGATAATCTGAAGTATTGTAAATTTCATCGGATTATTAGTCATCCCCTTGAAAGATGTTTTATCTTAAAAGAAGAGATTATTTGTTTATTGAACGAGAAAAAAATTAAACTCGATTCTAGCGAAGAAATGACAGTTATAAATGTGACAATGGTCACTTTTGGGTCTTTCGACCCTATACCAATTTCAAACAAAGGAGCACAATCATCACCTCCGATACATCATAAAGAACCATCACAACTGTTGAATTCTTCTATCTCTGTAGAAGAAACACCGTCAACCAAAAGTAAAGAACTTACTGTTCCTCTTCCTGAAGGAGCTGTGCAAGTATAGTTAATTGTTGATGATGAGATAACAACGGTATATGAATACCTAGGTATGTCGAGGCATAAAAATTCCAACATTCCAACACTTTTTGAACTCATGAAAGATGATCTAGGTGTTTGGGCATCATCATCTGAATCAGAAGACGAGATCGGGGATGGTTGGTCAACCATTGTCAGCAAAAAGGATAAATATCGAACCTCGATTACTAACACATAGTAGTCTAATCTACTAGGCAACTCGGAGCTCATGCTAGGAGCACCTATTTTGGATCTCAATCCAAGTGGATAGCCTCATTTGGATGATTTTGTAGCTACTGAAGAAGATTTGGGGGAATGGACTATGGTGAAGCCTCGGAGAGTGTGTAAGCTACAACATTCATCTACTCTAACTAATAAGCCAAAACACCCCAAAACAAATAGGAGACCTCATTCTCACCAAAATCAAAGACATGGAGGAAAAAGAAGAGTATCTTCCCAGCTGACAATCATTGATGATGAAGACTATAACTTACATTCTCGCACACCTGTAAAATGGATAGAATATTTTCCTAAGCAATTCTTTATAAGGGAATCAATTGCATCTTATGTGATCAGTGTTTGTGAAGAAAAATGCATAATTGAGGCTCCACTAAATAAAGATTCAGATACCAAAAATGCTCAGAAAGAGGTATCGACAGATGAAGAAGAAATGATTGGAAGGTTTAGAGAACTTCCATCAAACCTAAGTCTTCCTGAGGCACTTGAATTACCCAAAGAAACCCGAAAAATGTTGGTACAAGCTTTGGTCAACCTAGAAAAATTCAAAAAAAAGATCTTAATTGTTGCTGATCAAGTTAGTGAATCCGATTGCATGACAACGATTTCATTCACTGATGAAGATTTACAGTTAGGATCTCTTCTTCACAATAGACCCCTTTATGTGAGTCGGTTTATTCGAGATTATAAAATATCTCGTATATTGATCGATTGTGGATCGGCTGTCAACATCATGCCAATTCGCATCATGAAGCAACTTGGAATCTCTATGGACAAGTTGTCAAAAAGTAAACTAACAATTAAAGGCTTTAATCAACGGGGACAACGTGTCATTGATATGATTCGACTTAAGATGGAGATTGAAGAATTGGGGTCTTTTGCTCTTTTCCATGTTATCGACTCCAAAACATCTTATGTGTTACTATTGGGGCGACCTTGGTTACATGAGACGGGAGTTGTGCCATCAACATTGCACTAATGCTTCAAATATTATCATGATGGAAAAGTGAGACAAGTCGTTGTTGAGACCAAGTCTTTCTCAACAGAAGAATCTCATTTTGCGGATGCCAAATTCTACTCTGAAGTCGAGCTTATCACAGAGGCACTTCCTAGTACCATACCAAAGATCAAACTATCAAGAGAAAAAAAAGAACAATTGTCAACAGATGACATCAAGCACTTGAAGAATGAAATGACCTTAACTGTAACTCAATTATCAAAATTGACGATCTCTGACCCACCACTGAAGGGTTTTACAAAACCTTTTGTAGTAGAAGAAGGAAAAGATTGTAAAAAAGGTTGGTTTGATCCTTGTGTTAAGAAACTCTTTGAAAATGCAGGTTATGGTAAAGGTGAACCACGC